AGTGTCTCCATGGAGCACAGAAGAACTGTTTCTCACCCCTCTGAAACACAACCAAAGTCTAGCACAGAAGAGCAACAGCCACACCAGGCTGGGGCTCAGGAGCCTGGAGAAGGGCTGCACTAGAGGACTTGGTGCTTAACTCCTTCAAGCTCAACAACAAGCAAGAGGAAGGTGCCAAGAAGGCAGCAAAGGTCAAGAACCCCCTCACCGTAGACTGGCACTGCCAAGAAGCCCAGGATAGCTGTGGCTGTGAAGAAAATCCCAGGGAAATCCAAGAAACTGGCAGTCACCATAGCCAAGAAAGCAATCAAGAGCTTATAGAATATGAAAGCTGATAGACCAAAAAAGGCAAAGACTCAGTTAAAGGTGAAACAGTGAAACCCAAGGCTACCAAACCCAAGCCACAGAAATAGAAAGTGACCTCAGGCTAAGAAGGCAGTGCACAAGAAGTAGATACTGTATGAGGACAAAGTGCCCTGCTTCAGAGACAGAGTGTAAAACCTGTAACTGAATCATTGATTTTCATAATGTTTGCATTTTTAAATACAATTTCCCCAAAGGAAGGTAATTAGTTGTAATAATTAAAATTCTTTGTTTTGCAATAAAACTCAGGCTTCGTATGAATTATAATTTTTCATCTTGCTATTTTCTGCAACTGCCTGCAGCAGCATTGCAAGGGAGATGCAGCCAGACTCTGCTCAGAGGTGCACAGCAGAAAGAACAGACACAACAAAGGAATTTCTGATCTGACATCAGGAAAATATTCTCCATCGTACATAAGTGTGGTATAGCACTGCAACAGGGGACCAGAAAGGTTGTGGATTCTCCATCCTTGATGACTTTTTAAAATCCAGCTGGACGAGGCTCTGAGCAATCTGATTAGCTCTGCTTGCTAACTTTGAATGTGGTTTTAGCTATAATCTTAACTGGAAGGTACATTATCTCAAGAAGGACATTTGTTTAAAAAAATGCACAGCTTCATGTACATTCATTCTTAAATTTAAGTGGGTGAGTTCTCACATGTCGTATTATTTAGACACATTTAATTATATATGTTTATTTATTAAAAATTTTTGTTAATGTTTAAATTGTGACAACCTGTATTTGTATGGAAATTGCAATCTTAGTAAAATGCCCAAAACAGCATTCTGAAAGATAATTTATTCCTTAAAAGAAGCTTTGCTCTGCTGATGACTTTCACCAACTCAGTTTCAGTTTTTTTGTATATTTAAACATAATAGCAACAAGTACATGAAGCTTGCATTTTAACTGATACAGTTTATATTATTGAAAAGGGAAGGTAGAATAATCCTTGCTTTCCAGGTGCAGCAAAAAGCAGGGAGCTCCAGCTCCATAAGTCCAGCAAAGTGAGGTACCAGTTCAAACTGGGGACCAGGCATCAGAGCACTGGCTTGGAAACTGCAGCCTTCAGGAGCTGTGACGGCAAAATGAGCAGCCGTTGTGTGGGAAGTGACAGCAGGTCATCTAATTCCTGCTCCAGGTCAGAAAAGTTTATGAAAATCAGCCACAAACTCTAGATCATGCTTCTAAAATTGGACTATGGCATCTTTCTTTGTGGCTAGTCCACCTTCATGAGAAACAGACCTAGCTGGAGCTATATTTAAAACCATTTCCCCAGCTTACAAGAGAAGGCAACATCCATAGACCAGCAACGCAGCACTATGACCGTTCAGGTTGGGATGGCAGGGGAGACAAATCTGTCTGTGGGATAAGTGCTAACGAAGATGGGGAAACCTGTCCATGGACTACAGTACTGTAAGGAAAGGGAAGAATAAACTGAATTACAAAATGTGGATGGCACACACTGAACTCCGGTTCACACAGCCGGAGGAACGTGACCACAGAGGGACACTGCAAAGGCCAAGAGCGGGGTCAGACCTGCATAGATGGGAGCAACATCTGCACCCACTCAGGCTGAGGCTGTTTTCGCTGTAACAGTCCAATAGGAACACTGTAGCCTTAGCCAGAAGAAGCATTGATTCTAGGGGACAGGGTTGTGTAACAACCTGCATTGTGTGGTTCAGTCCTGAAGAACTATGGGACACTGTCAGAGGCGGTTTAAGGGGTAATTTGGGTCACAGCCACTTTTGTTCTAGAAATACCATCTAAATGCAGGCTTGACTGCTTGCACATGACACTGTTGAGAGTCCCCGTTGCTCTGAGTACTCCATCTTTTCAAATCAAATATATGATGTACAGTAAGTGCCTGATGAATTTATACGAAAGTCAGAAATTCAATGAAAGGTAATTTTTCCTAATCTTTCTGACCTAGATGTGTAATTTTTAATGTAGTCTTTCAGTTGTTCCCATTACTGAGTTAAATGGCTCTAGCGAACAAATTCTTCTTTGCTTATGAGATGATTTATCACAGCTCTTCTCTTCTTTCAGCCATCTTACCATTTCACCTGGAGATGGTAATTCTCCATCAGCGAGTCATGACACATGCACAGTGAAGAGATGTGTTCTCAGCACAAATCTCATAGGCTGGGAGGAGTCATCTCCGTGCTCAGCAGCTATCAACTGTCAGGAAAATCTAGCTCATCTATCCATGGATAAAAATAAAAATGTTAAAGATAGTTTGCTCTATCTCTAGAAAAAATAATGACCTCCCAGGAAGACCTGTGATTCATGACTGAAGGGAGAGTGGCAGTGGAGGATTGAGCTAGCAGGGAGTAAAGAGGTCCCAATGACAGATACGGGCTGAAGCCAAATCTGCCCACAGATCTATAGGTAATATAGCTAGAGACAAATAAACTCAAACAGATGACACTTGCCAAGAATCACAGGAACTAAATTTTCTTTTAATATTTTCGTATGCATTATATGGACTCTAGCATTAAAACAGTGTTCTTCTGGAGAGGTGTACCTCTTCCTGTCTTTGCTGAAAGCAAGCAACAGAAAGGCTTCTAACCATTCCCCAGACTGTGTGAAGGTTAAATTTCTATATACTGTACAGTAGCTATGTTATACAGTTATATATCTATATCTATATCAGCTTACATTCAACTCTAAATAGAGTGGAACCTTGGCCTAGTCCAATTTCCAAGAGCTCCCTCTGACACCTCATCTCCATCCTACCTTCCTCCACTCAGGCAAATTCCACAGGCGTCCCAGTCAGTGGCTGCCAGTGGCTTGAATGTCTTTGTGATTAAGCTCTCAGTGCCCTCCTTTTTACAGAAATGTGCATACTCTCAGTACAGAGAAATTCCTCCTCCATGCCTAGTCTCACGAGCCTTGAGTAGTCAAGTGGAGCATCATCCTCTGTGTAGTGGTGCGATGCTCCTATGTATAGGATGAAACTCCAGTCACTGCATAACTTGGGATTCTTTCTCCTGTATGTTGGGGCAATATAGAGAGATTTAGCCCATCTATGGCCATTTTTGGCCTTATATGGAACAAATCTGTGTCTGTACATGGTGTCTTCCCCTACACAGAGGATGTACCCAGCTTCTTGCTGCATACAGCAGAAATCTGAGTCCCAGGAAGAGGCTCTTACCTTAACTGTTCTGCTTTTTTTTTTCTAGACGTCTGCCTCTGTGCAGCAAACTGTTTCCTATACTGTGTGACTCTGGCTCTGAGCAGCAGAGCAGTGCTCCAGCAAGGCTGAATGGTACTCAGTCCAGCAGCAGAGTGATGGGGGTGAATGCCTACTTTGGCAAACTGGCTTTCTGTCTGTTTGGAACAACACTTAAAAGATCCTGGAGACAGGATCTTGCTGATCTGCTGTCGCAGTAAGCTAAGCTACTCAGCTCCAGCACCCCACAGAATCATGCCACTAGGAGTCACATAGAGTGTTAACACACTTCAGACAGCCCTTCCTCACTTACCCTACCCAGCTGCATAGTGCACACTGCCCATATACCTGGAAATGTTCTCCATATATATCTGGAAAACAAAGTGTCTGAGCAGACCACAGACATCCAGTGCTACCAGAGTGAATTCTTTTCCCCAGCTTGTTCTGCCTTTATGAGTGCTTGTACCTGCAGATATGTTTACGTCCCCACCAGCACCTGGCTCTGTGCAGGTCAGCACAGCCAGAGAACCTGTAGGAAAACCCAGGAATCACAGATAATGATTCTTCTCCCACATCCCATTCCAATCTGTGACTCCTTTCTGCTCTGTGTAGGAGCTCCCAGGTCAGGAGGTAGGAACTCACGTGGAGATACTGAAAGAAGGCTCAGCAACTGGAGAGTATGGAGGTAGCCAGACCAAGACAAGTCACCAGGACAAGCTAATTCATTGCAAGTTCCCAGTACTGCGTGACACACAGGTTCTTCGTGGGCTCTCTTGGGCTTAGGAGTAGAGGCAGCCCTACTGACTGCTCCCTGGAACTTGCCTGGGATGGGCTTCAAAAGATTTCTTCACTGAGAAGAGAAGGACAGAGTGGGGGAGAGGAGAGGAGAGAGAGGAAGAGGCAGCACTCTGCTCTCATAATCTTCTTTAGAAAAATATAATGCCATACTAAATCCAGAATTCTTTCTTTTGGTAGCAATTCTGTGTGAGGGAGGCAATGAGCTTGAGACAAAGAACTTCCCAGAGGTAGTTATAAATGATCTGCTGCCATACAGGGACAATAAGGCTTGCCTTGGGTTGAGGACAGCTCATCTCCCAGTTCTGTCACTTCTCTGAGGCCAGCAGGCACAGAGGCAGGCTGTGCTATCACACAGCAAACTCAGCGGCTCAGAAGGGCCAGAGAGGCTCAGGCTGACTAACCATATCCAAACTCATACTGATGCCATGCAAGAAACCTAGGCCAGGGTATAAAGGCTTGCGCTCCTCCACAGGAGATGCAGCTTAGGGCATCTGTACTGCTGAAGAGAGCTACAACCTGTCCCCAGGTATGTGTTTCTGCAGGGGCAAAGTAAGAGAAAATGCAGCACATTTGTAAGGACCTCTGGGAAACGAGCAGTTCATGGCCTGCCAAAGAGTGCTTGAGAGAAAAGAGGGGAGCATCCCACATCCTCAGCAACAGATTTAGAAGATGACAACAGCCACCATGACACACTAGCAGAGAGGAGACTCTGTGAAATGCAGCAAATTAAGAAGAGGATGTGGGGAAAGGCAGAGAAGCAAGGAAATGGTGTGGAAATCACAAATGAGAAGGACTTGTCTTGGGTTGTAGGTAGTGGATGATGATTTCTCTTCTCTTCCTTCCTTTTCCCCTCCTACTGCTGGTAGCTCACAGAGCATCAGGCCCTCTGCGCTGCTGCTCCAGGAGTTGTCTGCAAGGGAGATGCAGGGGTTGCCCAGATCGGCGAAGACGGCGAGAAGGAAGGCCAGCCAGCTGGCGACAGATCTCATCTGAAGACAGAGCAGACACACACAGGTTGACAGATAATCAAAATTTCCTTTAAATTCATCACCACCAGAACAGTTATAGGTACATCCTTCACTGCATTCACAGAAACTGTTAGAAGTGCTGAATCCTCATACAGAGTGTTGTGGTTTAGCCCAGCCAGGCTAAAATCACATATTAAAATCACTTGTATTTTGCTGCAACAAAGACTACATAAGAAATCTACACCGGATCCTGTTTCTATTCATGAATAGAAATACTGAGAGCTATTCTTTAAGCTCAATGGAATGCAACTTTGAGTAAGGGTGTGCCTGGGGTTAGTAGAGCGTGATCAAGATCGAGGAAGCCAGAGCTCTCCTGCTTCTTGGTAGCACTATTATATCAGTGTTTTCCATGGCATGCGTACTGGATGCAAGGCTGCATTGCCTTAGAGCTTCCCCAAACCAAGTCCAGGGAAACTACTTAGACTAGGCTGGACTGGACCTAATGATCTTAGAGGTCTTTTCCAACCTTAATGACTCTATGATTCTATGATACTACATATGGATTGGGGCTGGGTAATTAGTTAGCTTGGAGACTTTAATAGATGGCTGCAGCTATTCTTCTAGGCCAGCTTGTGCTTGCATCACTCACCTTGCATGACCTCATTCTCCTTGCAGACAGTACGAGAGCACACCTCCTTGTTTATTACGTATATGCGACGCATACTGAAGGATCACCAGGAACACACCAAGGACAGTAGCGAAAGGCACAGGGACCCAAAGAAACAAAAAAATGACAGAGGCAATAAACATGTATATTCACTGATGACGAGGCAAATCCTAAATTTTTAGGATTAGTTAGTCTAGAATAAACCTGTTAATAGGAAAGTAAACTTTGTCAAGACTTCATGAAATGGCTAAATACTTTAAGTACAGATTACAATATATGGCACATTGCAGCTCCTTAGAGCTGCACAAATAATAGTTGTTGTGCTGTTTTAATTAATCACCCTAAAAGGACACTCTGAGGATAGGATCCATCTCACCAACTGGTTCTCTGAGGGAACCTCTAATTTTTAAAGGAAACAATTGCTGAACTGGAAATACCATTTCTGGAGGGTTTTTAGTGCTTTTCTTAGAGACTGTTGACTTCTTACCTTGTGACACAGAGGTAGCTGATGCACTGCTTTACTGGTTTGTGAACAGAGTACAGGCGTGTGCAAGGGAAGTTTTCTTCACGACAATCTGGGAACACACACACAACCCAGCATCATTAGCAGGTGCATGCATATAACTTCAAAAGTAGGTACTGTCCTCCAGGCTTCTAGGAAAGGCCCCTAGCCTCTGTTTTCCGCTTTCTTGTGAGATGGGGATGGTTTAGAGAAGAGGGAAATAAGGCAGTCGTTTCTGATCCCCTTGCCTCATAAGACAAAAGTAAGGGAAAGTTGAGTGAAATGCAAGACAAGCCCACTGGGAATCCTCAATACCCAAAGCCCATGCTCTAAAGGGGACAGGTGCAAATAAACAAAATGTCAATTGTAGTCGTGTGTTTAAGACACATGTTTCTTAACATGAAACTTCATGTTAAGAAGTTTCAGGACACAAATCTAGTTCCTTTCTTTTCTGGACAATCAATCCCATAGCTAACTATGGTGGGTTTCTTGCATTTCCTTCTGAAATGCCAGGTCTTGGCCACTGACAGTGACAGAATATTGACCCAGTGTTTCTGGTCTGGTGACCTACCAGTTCCTCCCTTTCCAGGCACGCCACCCAGGGGAAGACTTCAGCTTCCACTATCATCCTTTTCCAGTACTTCTAATTCAAGGAACAGGATGAAGGGAATTTTCCAGGAGACAAAGCTCAGTGCTCAGGCAACATCTGCCTGGAGAGGTAACAGAGTGGGTGAAAGTGGGTCTGGGAGTGGGTGCAGGCAGTAATCTTAAACATACCTGATGAAGCTGTGGTAGTTTCACTGTCAGACTGAACTGGAAGACAGAGGCTAGCAATGTTAGTGTGATTTACCATGATTCCTTCCCAGACATCAGCTTACTCAAAACAAGTAACTGGAAAACTCTTTCAAGAACCCCCCATTGTAACTTCTAATGTGGAAAAAGATGTCATTGTTACTGACATGAAACCCTAAAAGAAGATACAAATCCAATAGGAATCTAGCGGCAGCTACTCAGCCAACAATGCTAAAAATCTATTCAAGCTCTACCATAAAGCATTACCACTACTGTTCAAAATTACACCATAAGGGCATCTTGACTTATAATTCAAAAGGTGGGGTAAGTGTATTTAGTTAATGTATTTGCTGTCCATCTAGACAAGAAGTGAAGCAGCCTGTGACTGGCTCTTTGTGACTCCTTTAAGGAAGTTTTTTAATATCCATAAGAAGGGTTCAAAAGGAGGTTGGTTTGTTATCTGATAAAGCAACCCACCTGCACCACAGTAAACCAATACATTTTATTATTTACCCAGTGACAAACTGGAAAGGAACTCAGAGGACTGACTGCCAGGCGCAAGTTTTCATCGATGGTTATGACTTCTACTTTTCCTGTTAATGTGCTATAGTGACAGTCAGAAGCACAGACAAAACAGATGGGCATAGAGAGAAGGAGTATTTTGGGCATCAGGGCTGTGGTTAGGGGCAGATAGGGGAGACAGTATTTTGAGTACAGAAAGAGAGAGAAGTGAGGTCCACAACACTTGGCTGTGGACTGAGAATAAACTCAGCAGGACTAAGAAGCACGGGTGGTGTGACAGCTGCAGCTGGAAGAAGAGAAAATGTTCTGAAAGATCTACCTTGGAGGTTTCAGCCTTTTTCCTCCTCCCATGGTTCTTCCCATGGCTCACCACTCATGGCCATCCCACATCTGGTTCATAGACAACACAACATACTCTGCTATCTGACGTGTCAGAGTAACTGCAGGCTTTCCCTGTGAATATGCTGAGTGTTCCAGAGCTGATGGGACACTGTAGAGCAGAGACGGGTCCCATGGCACATCATTTGTGAAGAGTTTTTTCTTGATCCCTCAAAGTTTTGAAGCCAAAGTCTGCTTTAAAGGCTTCACATATAGTCTTTTCAGGTTCAGATGTAGGTTAGCCACTGCTATTTTGGTCTGGACACCAAGACTTATCTGCCTTTCTACAGACTGTCATGTCTCACACACTGAACACGAGACTGACACAGGTCGCCTTCACCTCCCATCCCCACCAGAAAGATCATGCACCTTGCGTATACAGCACTGTGCTTCCACTTTTGTCCTTCAGTGCTGTCCCACAAAAAGGGGAGGAGGCTCCTCCTTAATTCTCTGGGTCTCTTCTCCATTTCCCATTATGAATCCGACAGGATTAGGCTATCTTGTAAATGCCTACACTCCCATCAGCTCTATGTCTTTCCTCTGGGGTTATCTCCACAGCAAGGCTTGGCTCGCTAAGGAGGCACATTGCATGCTACCAGTGCTCATCTTCAAGCGTTCTCCATCTACCCTATATTTTGCATACGTTTTGCTGCCCCCCAGTGTCATAGCTGCAGGCATGTCAGGGAAGACAGTACTAAAAGAACAATTATTTCCACTTCCCCATCCCACCACTGCTCAGAGTTCACTTTATCCCTGTCTTTCAGGTTTTTTGCCACCTCTGCCTCCTGAGCATTCAGGCATGGTCGCTGGCTGCCAGCAGACCTGCACACAACCTCTGCCCCAGTGCTGCCCAGTTAAATGGACAATCTGACAATTTTCTCTCCCTCATCATTTAGTCTCTTTCAGATTTCATGGCTTCCTCCAGTGCAAACAGCTTCGGAGAGTCCTGGTAGACCAGGTGGGACTGGCATTTCCTTGCAGAACAGGCCATGAAGCCACCCCAAATTAATCTCCCTGCACAGAGCGCAGAAAGGACACCCAAGTAGTCATAAATGCTGGAAGAGCACTGCTAGATGTCAAAAGTGGGAAAGAAGAGGTTCTGAGCAAAATGGGTAATTTCTGGGGCTACATAGGCAGAAGTAAGGGTGAAAAGCAGAAAGAAGTCTGAAATTGCCAAGAGACAGGAGCTTACCGGGAGTGCTGATAAGAGAGTTGGTGTTAACTTCTCCTGGAAAAAAGAGAATGTCCTTGAGAGAGCTTGTCTTTACTTTGTGGTCCCTCTCACAGCTAGCCACAGCTAGCTTGAATTACCTTGGCCACCAAGGAAAGCTTATGAGACAGTGGGATCCAATCCAGTAAATACATAAACAAACACAGTACTCCCATCCCACCTGTATCCATCCCCCTTTATCAGTGACTGGCCTGGGACTGGATTTCTTTCTGCATATGTTGCATCAACCCTTACTCAACTTCACATTCAGAGTCTCACTTCTCAGATATGGCCACTGTGGGCATCTTGATGGAAAAGAAAGGCATCTTAAAGAAAGGGAAGCTTGGTGGACACATTTTGGACTGGCTTCTGAACAGTTTTCTGGGAAGAACCAAGTATTGCACATGATAGGATCATAGGTGGGAGGTGTCTGATGGCTTAGCCAGGGACTTCAGTTTGAAGAAAAGGCAGGCCATTGAGACTCCTCTGGGTGCAGAAGCATGATGCAAACATATGTTCATTTTATCTTACCATGTCACAGAAGTGGAAAAAAGGTCCAGAGGGATAAAGCAATTCACCCCCAACAAAACAGCCAGTATGAAAACCAGTTAATATCTTTTCTTAGTGGTCTCATTGCGAAAGCATCTCGACACTTGTACACTCTTTTTCTTAGGATTTTCCTGAGCATCTCATGGCTGAAGAGCTACCAGTTCTCATGGATCTCCCACGACCCTTGAATGTGAACATAACTCTGTGCACTTCAGCTAAGTTGTTCAGCACCCCAACACTAGTGAATTCTTTGTAAAGAATACACAACGCTCAGCAGGGTGTCTTGGATGGCTTGTTTAATCTTTACTGAGAGGCAAGCTCACAATGTCAGAAGCAAGGAAACGAAGAACAGCATTTGCAGTCAAACAGGCTGCAAGTACACAGGACAACTCGGTCACACATGCAGTCTTTAGCACATAACATGCCTGTAATACTTACCAGTTGCACTTTCCAGTTCTTGCCCATCGACCGCCCATGGAAACCAGTCTGCAAGAGAAGAAGAGAGAGGAGTGAAGAAAGGTCAGAAAGGGATTTCTATAGTCTCCAGGCTTTGTAAGATTTTTTTTTTGAGATGCTCATCTGTCCAGGAGACACCACTGCCCTCTGGTGAAAGGAGAAATGCTCTCCTCTGTGCCTCAGCCTCCACTGCTGGCTGGGTTTGTTCTTTAAAGACTTGTGGATATGGCAGGTCCTGATCCTATTCCTCCTGCTTCCACCAGGGTCAAAGGCTAGGCACAGGGATAAAAGATAGTACATACCTCCAAACCTGCTACTGGACTTTGCATTTCTGAAATCCCATTTGATGCATTTGGAAAACAAATCACACGTTGCCTCCCTGCTCTGGAGGTTGGTCAAAATCCCTATCTCCATTTTACAAAAGAGGAACAGTAAGAGTAAGAAACAGAATGCAGGTCTTTTAGCTCCTTCGGCAAAGAATTATCTGGTCCATCATCCTGCCTGGGTATGGAGCACAGAGCAGAAGCTCTTTCCCCTGTCAGTCCCTGGGCACAATGAAGAGGGAGAATGATGAAGGCTTCTCTGTGCATGCTGTGTGGAAGAGAAAAACCTGAAACTGAGCTAGGCTGTTCATTTGTCCAAATATAAAGGGTGAGAAAGCTGCTTCCTCCAGCAGCCAGGAATAGGAAAATACTTCCTGCTAGCCACAGAGGAGGGAAATGTCTGCATAACTGGGGTGGGATGAAGGAAGGAGTTGGCAGGAAAAACCCAGTGATCTGGGGCACTGCAGGGACGTACGCAGGACCAGTCCAAAACACAGCATACCCTGCTGCATCTTATGAAGGCAGTCTTTAGCTTTCAGTTCTTACTGGGTAAAAACTACCAGGTCTGGAGTTTTTGTCTCAGTTCTTCCTCATTCCAAGAGCAGTTACTTGCAGGCTGCAGAGGGACTCTTGGGACCCCTATATAATCCTGCATTACAGAAGCTGCTGGACCCTGCTGTTCCCTTCCCCACCCAGCTGCCAGCAAGGGCTCAGCTGCTGGCAACTGACCCAGGGAGAGCCAGACATGTACCCAGGGAGAGCCAGACATGTATCATAACTTAAGCACACAGTGCAGTGCAGCCCAAAACTTTCCCTGTTCTAGCTAATCTCTTAATGGCAACAAGTAGAGGAGAGCAACAGTATCAAACGCTTTCTCATTTGTTTCTGAGACAAAAGGAAGGACACGAATTCTGAAACCACTGCAGAGGCCTGTGGTACCAGATTTGAAATAGCACTCAAACAGAAAAAGCAGAGAGGCTCTCCTCTCTTTTTTGATAACACTGAAAAGTCAGCTCTTACCAGCTTTATTTTTTTTTTAATTTTGCTCCGTAGGAGGTAACTAGGAATCTGGACCAATTCTAAACCGACAGGACACAAGCGAAGCAAAATCTCAGTATGTGAGGAGAGAAGAAAACAAGTGACTTTCTTATCAGATTTTCAATCACTTCATCAGTTTATATTTATTCAGGTACCAAGTTCATATGCTTTATAAATGCTTGGACTTCATTTTCCAAGTTGTGAAAAATTTATTCTTGTGATCTGAGAAAAATGCGATTCACCCAACCTGTAGCTCACTCAAAACCAAAAGAGACAATGACAGACCGGCTGGCAATTCCTGTATTTTTCCAAGTTGAAACAAACAAACAAACAAAACTCTAACAGAAATGCTAAAACAAATTATACAAAAGAAAGAAATCTGCCCTTCAGGCTGCCTTCACTCTTCATAAAAACTACAGCCTTTTTTTTTCTGCCTCTAACTTTGCAGGCCACCTACAAGCTCATCTTCTGGATGCCTCTCCTCCCTGCTGCACAGGCACAAACATGACAACCTTTACTGTGCATCTTTAGAGGACAAAGTGCTATCGGTAGCAGAATCAGGCTTCAGCATGAGCGGAGGACTGAGGAGAGTACATTGGAATGACCTGATTTGAATGTGATAGGTGCAGTCATCTGTCTCCTACATACAGTCTTCCCTGAGTGAAGCTTTTTCCATTCACTGGAATTAATCTTTTTCAGTTTGTCCTGAGTCGTCTGGCTATAATGTCTTATGTTGCCCTCTTGATTTGGGCTTTTTTAGGTGTGTTTTGTTTTTTTTTTTAAACAGATTTGATCCTATCTGAATTTTTGCCAAAGTAACCCCAAGCAAACAAAGAAGTGGAGCAACAAAACAGAACAACAACAAAAGCAAAAAGTAATTTGAACTACAGGGGTTAGGTTTCTCAAAACAGCTATACAAGAACCTACAAAACCTTCTGGCAGCCATGGCCTGGAATGGGACCATTACAGCAGGAACTGCTAGTGACAGCAAATGTTTCACAATTATGACAGAACAAGATTTGTGGAGCACTGGGAAATGCTCTGTGGATCATGCAAACACGGGTGGTCAGCCATGTGAAGTACAGCACAGGCTACAGTAAGCACAAAGCACAGCTAACCTGCTTCCTCACCTCGACCTGGCTGTTTTACTTACCCCAAACATCTCTGCATTGGAGGCTGCTGACCACCTCTTGGGACTCCCAGTACTTACTGAAGAGTACACATATATGGGTACCTGTCCCCAGCTCCTAAATTTTTCCTTACAACCCTGCATCCACCTTGTCTTTCCTGTTTGCTTCTTCCCCCTTCACTGTCCATCTACATGTCTGTCTTGCTCCTTAGGTCATTACAAGTAATTCTGCATAGGAAACTCCACGAGGCTGGGGTGGAGAAGAAAATCCTCCCCCTGGCATAAGGACTCACCAGCTGGGGACAAGGAGAGTGCTAAGAGACTCAACAGTAGACAGGCTCCAGAGGTCTTCATCCCTGTGGAGTGGAGGAGAGAGGAGTCAAAGGCAGGCACAGGGGTACCCTTCCCTGTAGTACAGAAACTCTTTGTTTGCTGCCTTCCCAGGCTCCCTCCCACCTACCTCCCTCCTAACCTGGCCAGTTTTCCAGGTGTTTCTGAAACATTCTGGACTGAACATGTAACTCCATCTGCTTTCTTTCTCTTTCAAACTCCTTTCTCCAGTCTCCATCTATTTTCTCACTCAGATGGCTATTCCATACACACCCCTAGCATGCAAGGAAAAGTTTTCAATTGCTATCTCCCTCCACTCTCTTCTACTTTTAAATTATTTTGAGGGGCACTGAGGGAATAGATAGGGTCCCCATCACTTACTGCAGCCCTCAGTCTCCGCTCCTTTCAGCTGTGGACGCTCTGTCTTTCCCCTTCAGTGGTCCCCCCCCACTTTGGCTATTGGGTAAATCACATGCAGCCACACCCAGAACATGTTCTGCTTTTGGTTGTCTTCAAAATACGATTTTTTTTTTTTGGGGGGGGGGAAGGAAGAAAAGGAGAAGGCAGCGAGATGCTGGGACGTGGTGTCATCATGCATCTGGAATGAGGGGGGAAGCGAGGAGCCCACACCCTCATTCCGGAGCTTATTGTCCTCCGAAGGGAGCCCGCTCCTCCCATTCCCCCGGGATGGCCCAGCACCAGAGACGGATTCTTGGGTCTTCGTTACACATTCGTGTCGCCTTTCGTTTTGCGTCCCCCC